GGCTTTCCATTATAATATATTTTGGAAGCAAAATACACACATAACATTTTTAATCCACTAGAAGATCTGTGAGTGACTATCCACTTGCTTGTCCAAAAAAATCACCAGTTTTTGGTAAATAACAGTTAATTGTTTAGCTACAAAGGAACTGATAAATCAGCTCAAACAACATAACAAAATGTAGCACTTAAGCCAGTCATTTTTCTGGCAGCTTAGCTGGCTCAGAGCTTTCCTGTCAGTTTGTTTTTAAAAATTACTGTAGGAATTTAGTGTCTGGAATTCAAAACTGTGCAAGTCAGATGTTCTTTGTTAAAGCTGATCTGGTTCTAGTAACAACATCCATAAGACCAGATGAAAAGCACAGTTGCCTAGCATAGAATAACATGGTAGTACCTTAAGTTGGGAGGGCTTGATTCAGGAAATCACTTCTGCCTGTGATTCAGTCCTTATTCTGGACAGCATTTATAAATCCTTTTTTAAATTTCATCCTGTACTTGGAGAGTCCTGTTGACTTTTGTGTGTTGAAGAAAGTTTCCTGAGGTTAAGGCAAATACTTAAATATTACTCTGAAGAGGGATGCTTTTGAATGGGGTGGAAAAGATTGCATTTTTCATATATGCAGTCATAGGAAGCTTGTCTTCCATTCTTCGGTTCAGCCCTAATGTTTTGGGTTATTTTCTGGCAATGAAAGAGAATGCATAGGGTCCCAGAGAAGTGGCTCTGTCCCCAGAGAACCCAAGATGTTAAAGTCATACTGTCCTGCTTGCAACTTTCTTTGTCTAGTTCAGTTTCAACATGAAAGCAAAGCAAGAACGTGGGTCTTATGCCCAGCAGGACCCAACCCCAAGTGGTGTTTCAGGCCTGCAAAGTGCCACAGCACAGCAGCTTTCTGGGTGTGCTTTCAGTGAATTTTTCTTCTAGCAGTCTTGCTTTAAGAGGGCTCTTGCTTGTGTGTGTGAGTCCAGAAGTCCAGTGCTGCAATTTATTTTCCCTACAGTTGCTCTCCTCCAGCTGACTGTGGAATTGCATCTCTAAACAATTATCTTGGCCCTTGACAAAGCAAAATCAGAAAAGACAGCGAGAACCCTTAAACCTGGTACTGCCTTTCTACCTAGAACTGCAACCTAAAGCATGACCCTGCCCTGCAAAGCTGCTGCTCACACAAGGAAATATTAGTGGATGTGAAGCACAGTGAGAAATAGGGAAGGCTTGGACACAGCTAAAGCTTGGATCAGCTGGTGAACTCTCCAAGAGGCAGGACAGAAGAACAACATGTTCTCGTGGACTTGTGCACACTGAGCGTGTTGCAGCCTGGCCTCCATAATTTCCACCCTCCCTAATAAAGGGAAGGGTGTTTGTAGGTGCCTTGTATTAACTGCAGGTGTGGCATTGCTGTGTTTTACAAAGCTTAACAGGCTGCAGCCGCAATAGAGGGACTGATCCCCTGATGCCAGTCAGGGGAGATGTGGGAGCAGGGACAGGTCATGGGTGCGTATCACCTTCTCGTGGAAGAGGACTAAACACAGCCCAACAGTAGTTGATTTGAACAGTAAAGATAAATATTATTTTGCCTTCTTGTTGTATGTAATAAGTCACTGCATCTGTTTGCCAAGCTGTGCAGTACCAGGAGGCAGAAACCTGCAGTGGGGAGGGGGCAGGAGGAGGAGGAGGTGATAAAGGCTATGGGAAGGACAGGAATCTGCAAAAGCCATCTGTTGCTTTTGCAAACAGCAGTCAATAAAGTGGTTTCCTCTAATAGCCCCTAATTGCTGCTGCAGAGCTGGGTGCGAGCAGGAGCGTGGGACCGAGTCGCGGCCGCTCACCCCTTGGCTTTGTGCTCGGCCGGGAGCGTGGGGGAGTCCTGCTGCTCACCAGGAGCTGCTTCCCTGCGCAGGTGCCAAAGCCCCGCTATTTCGAGATGTGCAGCAAGCGCTCTTCCACCAGCCAAAACCCGCTGGAGCATCTGAAGATACATGAGCTTTCCCTGCCACAGACATCAGAGCTAGCAGGGATTCAGGCACAGGTCACTTTGCAGAGAGCGTCCAGGCTGTGCACAGTGTTTTCTACCTGATACGTGCAAACTTCCGGGGAATTCAGCAGCACAATTGCAAAAGCTGGAGGTGAAGAAATTTCTCAGCATACATGGCCAAGACACAAAACTTTTTTGAACAAAATTCTCATCGAGACTGCACAGAAAGGCACTGCAGTGCTGCAAAACCTCAAACATTGAATGATTCATATTAATCTTAATTTACTCTGTTGAAAGCAATCTCTGATATTCTGTTATTCCAGCCATTGTGGTAAGGAAGGAGAAGACTGTGATTTAAGAGCAGGGATATCTGCACAAATGTTTACATACAGGAAAGAATTGCTGTCAGTCAATCTAATAGTTTGTTGTATTTTTCTGGCAGCTTGCAGTGAAAATATGTTAAATAGTATTTGTTACAATTTGTTACTGCCTTCAGGTATTATTTGCCAAATCTAAACTTACTTTGTAATGGAAAATTGGAGATGAAATGAAACTGCCAAATACTTCAATCCTTGTTCAGATGATACTCATATTAATTTCAATGTTTGAAGGTTCAGTTCAATATGGCCCTTGTGCTTAGGCCTGAAAGCTGGAGCTAAAGAGCTGTGTAGATGTGACCTAGTTTTTAGTCAGTAAAGCCACTCTCACTTTTTATTGAACAACTGGACAGGCTGATTTTGTTTCAGTGTAACAAACTGGAATTGTTATGCTTTGTTTATGATTATTGATAGGACAAAACTTTCAAAAGTATCTAAGTTGTTTCAACAGCTACTATCATTAGAGCTCTTAAGGCACAAACAGGCTTGGGGGTTTTATTCAACGTTTTGCAGACAAATAATAACCCAGGTCTGTTCCCTGTGGTGTGCAAAGACTCAGTTCTGTGACACCTGGAAACTGTGTTCTAGGTGGAAGGAAAGGTCACAGGAACAGCTTGCCTCTCTGAAGCTTTGGGGTTTTGTCTTTTCTCACTTGGTTTCACATAAAGTGAGGGCTTTTAGCATCTAGAAGGATGCTGACACGCAAACTCATGGTACTGCATCAGTATGAATAAAAGCGAAACAAGGGCTTTGCTGTCTCAGGGATGAAGAATTAAGAATTTCCTGGAAGAGATCTCTTTGCCAGCTTCCCATTAGGTTTCATTCACTTAGTGCCATTTAATGCATAAATTCAAATAATATTTCTCTGCGAAATGAAGGGCTATATTCAGTCAGCCAACTTGCACCTTTATCTCTGTGCCTAGTCAGCAGAAACAAATATAGGTCCCCTAAAGAGCTTAAGTAAGACATTGAGCAAGGAAGCTGTCAAGCTTGAAGGTAGTAGGAGGTATGGGAGTAGGAGGTATGGCAGAGAGACTTAGCCTGGCTGAGTCTGTTGCATATCAGGGCAATGGGCCCACAGGAAGAAAGTTAATATTCTCCACTGAATGAGCAATGTCTCACTTCCTTCAGTATTTGGAGGTATAATAATAGATCCTGCACTCCAAAAATCAGTCTGTCTGCCAGGTGCATTGATAACTTGACAAAGCAATTGATCAGGGACAATGACGAAGGAATGACTGCTCCACATGGATTGTTTTGCAACCTTCAGTGGCACTAAAGAGGATTTGTAAGGCATGGTAAGTTAAATATGGTACATGACCTAACGTCACCCTTGCTAATTGATGTTAGACAGACCAGAGCATCTTTGTCTTGTTGCCTTTGTGTTTGCAGTGGACTCTGTACAGTCCTTCTGGTCTGAATGGATGCTCTTTTAAATTGTCCAGCTGGGCAAATGCTTTAAAGCATCTGCTAATTAAAGAGCTAGGACAGGAGTTTCTACATCATCCACCATGTTTTTTAAGTTTAAATATATTACGACCTAAGCAGTTCATTGTTGTGAATACACTGTCTAAAAAAGGTATTCAAAACCTCAATTAAGATAAAGTTGAGGAATTCCCTAGCTGTTAACTGCTTTCATTGTTTTATGTTGTCAGTTCTTGTAATATTTCACTGTTCATGTACTGAAAATGTCAAACTTGTAGCCTTCAAATGGTTTTGTGGTTGATGATGTTGCAATAACAAATGGTCCTTTTAAACAAACAAGTTATGTTTATGTTGCTAAAACTGGATTTTAAATAGTCACCTGTCAAATCCAGCAGAACATCTGTAATATCATTACTACTTCTGCTATAGTTCTAGCCCAAGTCTATACTAATTTTATCTGACAGAAACAATGGGGAGATTCAAGTTCAGTCACTTTCATTTGATGGCATTCCAGTAAAAGTAAGGTATTACTCATAAAACTGGAATATTTAAAGATAACTATTTGCAAAAATAAGTGTCTATTAGACTAGTTTTTTATTATCTCTGTCTGCACAGTGGCTATGTAAGAGTCACTTTAATCACAGAAGTGAAGGAGCTGTTTTGGGGCAGAGACTGGAATGGTTAAATTACCATAACTGGGTCAAAAGATAAAATTCCAAACTCCAAGCAATGTGCTGGAGACCTATTCTTTGGCTGAAATTCCACCTTTGAGTGTTCTGGAGCATCAGAGAGTGTTTGAAGTAACAAAGTTAAGGACAGTGTTGGTATTTGAATCACCAACAGAGAGATACCAGTCCCAAAAGAGACAGATGGCATCAATTACACTGGAGGAGCCATGCAGAACCTCAAGCCCCCATGGAGATATCCAGCTCAGGGACTGATGCTGATGCCAATCTGCATCTTGAACTTGCAGCAGACCATGGTGGCTCTGTTCCATGAGCAGATGCCTTCCCTGTAACCCATCCTACAACAACCGGTTGAAGGCCAGGTCGATGGCAGGCCAGGGTGGCAATGCTTTCTCTGTATTCAAGGTCTGCAAATTCTATACCTGCCTGCTGTTTGCTGATGTCTGAAATGCTGTTGCTGAATGGAATGGTTTCCCTTGCAGCTCTGCAGCCTTTGCAGGGTGATTGCCACGTTAATGATTTGTACGTTGATGCTCCATTTAGGGCCCTCGTGTTTATCGCCCATGGCGCTGGGGAGCACTGCGGCCGCTACGATGACTTGGCCCAGAAGCTGACAGGACTCAACTTGTTTGTGTTTGCCCATGACCATGGTGAGTAGCCTAAAACTGTACTTGATTTACAGCAGCTCAGGCCTTTGCTGAAATAAATGCCATTACAGCTACTCAACAGTGAGAGAAGAGCCAATAAAATATTTACAACCAGACATAAATGAAAAAAGATTATCTGTCGCTCAGTCAAGATCTGCATGTTGAATCTGTAAAAGCTTGCTCGGTTTGCTTTGAGTTTTCCTTAGCCTTTTGACCTCACTTTAAGGGATTATTTCCTCTTCACCTGTCTCTTGGGGCTGAAGTGGTATTGTCCACTGTGGAAGTGGGACTAGAAGCCATTTCTGCTGAATTCACAGTTGATGTCCTAAGTGATCCCAGACGGGAGGCTGAAAGGTCAGCACAGCTTTCATGTTCTGATACAATGAGACAGCTGCACCCTTGAGACATGGCGAGGCAAGAAGACATCACAGATACCTTTGAGCACATCTCCACAGTCCAGCAGAGAGACTGGAGCTGGCTGTGCACACCTCAGCTCTGAGAGAAGCCCTTTGAGGAGGGTGCAAGGCTGTGACAACACAGCAGCACCCTTTGGCCCTCAGCCAGCAGGGTGGGACAGTGCTGGGCCAGGTACACTTAATGTCCCTGCCTCTTCTTGCTTGAAGCTCTCTGCTCTGTGCCCCACACTGTGATGGAGATGTGCTGGGTGTCACCAGGTCCCTGCAGTGCTTGGATCAGGACATCCCAGCAACACATTTGAACCACCCATCCTGGTTCTCTGGTAGCCTCCTGTTGCACATGACCCTTGCAACTTCATAACTTCTTGTGCTTGGAGATCTTTGCTTTGATTTTATCATCCCAGACTATTGCTTCCTGTGACAGCCAACTGAATCAATGGGATTGATGATGGCAGCAGACAAAATGCAAGGCCAGATTCTGAGCTGACAGGTTGAAATGGGATGAATCTTTGTGTAAATCTGATGTCCTTTGGGCAGATTATCCACTGATATTGGGAAGTAAACTGCAATTTACTTGGCTGAAGCCAAGACTCAAACCTGCCCCTAGGTCTCCTCAAAGACAGGACTGTTTAATCTGAGTTTGAAGATCCTGAATGTACATGAGTCATTGCACCATTTATCTGTGAGGGGACAGGCAAAACCTTACTTAATCTAGATTGAGTACCAAGGCTTTCCCTTGCTCTTGCAACTCACTTTTGATCACAGCACTGCACTTGTTATGCAGAAATGACCCCTGTATTTTCTCTGAAAAAGAGACTGTCTAGTCCACAAGATGGTTTGCAAGGAAAATAAATAAACCCCATGTGACTTTTTTTTTTTTTTTGAACAGTGCCATATTTGAGGCTGGCTTTGCAAAGAGAGTTGACCTGTGCAGAAGTATCTTAACTCAGCACCTAGGTCTCTTTCTCCCTGTGCAGGCAGAGTGTTTCTAAGTGTGATTCATTCATTTTGAGACACTTCCTCCTGAGCTGGAGCTAGGCTAGCAGGAGTCTGCAGTAATCCCAATAGGAAGAGTCTCCATCCCCCTCTGTTTGCCTGTGTGGCATGAAGTCCGTGGGAAGTTGATGGAACAGGCCACATGCTGCTCACCCTGCAGCTGCTGTTAGACCACAGCCAGTCCACACAAAAAGTGACTGAACTCCAGGACACACAAGCAACTCGTTCAGTCTCCATGAGCCTGTGAGGGATTGCAGTTGCTCTCTGTGCATAACATTGCTTAACACCCTGCCTGAGCTCCTCATTCCCATAAAGCTTGATAAAAGTTTTAAGAAATTAGGTTAAAATAGCATTAATTAGCTATAAATAGCTAACAAATATAGAAGAAATGATAAAGCATTTATTTACTGCATGGATTTGATACAGAGAATGACTCCTCTGTTGATGGAGAAGGGACTTTGAGGTGCATGTTTCTGTCAGGCATGTTTTGTGCTGTGTGACTATTTGCTCTCTTTTTCCTTGAGTATCTTTTTCACAGAGAAACAGAAATATTTCTTGGTGTTTTGGGCAATTTTTCAGAATACACTAATATTTCTGGATTAAACAGTGCAATTTGTACAAATTTGGTTTGTTCTCCCTGTCAGACCTACAGTTTTGTTTGTAAATTCCGTTTTCCTGATCAGTAAAGAGGAGAGGGTGAAAAGGAACCTGAAAGCAGAACAATGGAAACACAGTTGTGTTACACAAAGAGCTGATGTAACTGAGCCTTGATTCACTGTAAGTTAGAAAGACAATTAACATCTTTTAGGCTCTGTATAATAATCTTTGCACTTAAAGAGGCAACCACCAAGGATAAACTTTGATGAAATACAAATTACAGCCTGAGCTAAATTCCAGTGAAAGCTGAAGGACATAAATGCCTCCATTGCAAAACTGCTTTGGTCAGGCCGGGAGTTTTAAAGTTTCCTCACATATTTTATCTCATCCAAATCACTTCAGCAGTGTGTTCCCTTTTGTGTCCTTTCCTTTGGATATCATTGGGTAATATCAATTATTCACTTGTGTTAGCACTATAATAGCTGTCTGTTCCCTACCCCATACCATGGCTCTTAGTCGTGTGAGCTCAATGTAGACCTCCTGACCTGGATATTTATTCAGGTTCTGGTATTCTCATGGATAAAATTCCCAATACAGGTGCATATCCAGGAGATCATTAATGCAGTTCCACAGCGTGACAAGCGAGATTTCCCCAATGACTCGGGAAGTTACCAGGGTTGGAGTATGTGTGACTTGACTGATTTATGTTGTGTCTATCCTTCAGTCAAAAGAAGGAAAAATAATTTCCATTTTTATTGCTGACTCCGTAGGAGCTCACACATGGGCTCTAAATCTTGCCAAAGGCTGCTCTGAGTCAGTGTTTCCTCTTATGCAAGGCTTCACCAAAAAGGTGCTTCACAGAGTAACAAAGTGCACTCCAATTTGTGTCTTAGTATTGTCCCTTAGTGTAAGGTACCTCTGGCTCACCTTTCTCAGTATGTCAGGATTTGAACATTTACTCTTTGGGATATTTCATTGTAATCACAAGACTGCTGGAACTCATAGATATGTATTAGAAATTTTCCATGGTGACAGTGGAAATTGAATTCCAGAAGACCTTTTAACCTTACCTTATGTCTAATATTATTAAACGGCTTCGGTTTATATCAACCCTGTGAAAGAGGAAAATGGAATTTCTGTGTAATACAGCAATTTTTTTCCTGTGGTCTCTTATAAGGTGTTTTTTACAGGCAGGTAAATTTTTCCCATGATTTCTGGGTTTGCTTGGCATGCAGCTTCATGAAGGCAGAACTAAGGCTGCTGGGATGACCTTGCTATTTCTCCAAGTTTAGATATTTTGAAACAACACCTCACCTTTTCAACTTAATTTCTGAATTACTATTATTTTATTATGGCAAGATTCTGATGACAGAAGAAAGAGACAAACATATTAGGTTACTGGCAATCAATTTAGGAAAGCTCTCTTTGAAAGAATAACTCTGGGGGATTGGTGGAATGGTATTGCAGTTCTTCAGTCAGCTGCAGATTGCAGCTCCTTTAGTTTTAGCACAGTAATTTTAGGGAGCTGTAAAGCTGAGAACCAAGGAAAACAAGAATAAAGGCTACAGAATGTGGCTTTGTTTTCTCATACCAAGCATTTTGAGTTGGTAAAGCACATGATGTTCCAGCCATCCTCGTCTCTTTTCCTGTAACATCTGATTTGCTGAGATCTAATGCACTATGGTTGCATTACGTGGCCAGAGCCCAGAGAAACCACAATTTCACCTTCAAAAGTACATGTCAACTATTAGTAGTCAGAAAAACATTTGCAAGATACAGGGACCACAGAAATGTGGGTTTTTTGGTTTTTTTTTTAATCATAGTTGAAATTAGCCCTCTTTTTCTCTTGGACTTGCTCATGCTATGTACGGGTGTTGTGTCTGTTTTATGTAAGGATGAGGAGGATGAAATACTCAGCCCTAACCTGGTGGCAGTTCCTAGCCACCAGCTAGATTTTCATCCTACTTTCTCCAGGAGGAATAAACCCTCTACCTGTCCTGGTACATGAAGACCTTTGACCCTTTCACCCTTTTGAAGCTGTTGAGTTTCCCACTCTTGAGTTATGTTTAATGTCAGATCAAAGCAGAGGGGAAGGTTGCAGCTCTAACAGCTTATTCACATTCTTTAGATGTTTCTAACTGAAGTTCAGCTTGCTTTGGCAGCCCTGCTGCTGCTTTGTGTGTGGTGAGCATTTCTGATGGGTTAGCAGGTCCCTCTCAGACACCCACTGGTGCTTCTCGCCATTATTTTTTTCACTGCTTTCTCTGTTTAATGAAGGATTTATTTCTAAAATGTAGAAAATAGCTGGAGCAGATATTTTTAAATGCACCAAATATTAGCTGCTTTTGTTTTGCTTTTTTTTCTAAGTGATTGCTATGTTGTTCTTGCAACTGTTAAAAGACCATTTTGTTGATGAGAACAGAAGGCTTTTATTTATTCATAGCACTGAGAAGGATTGGTCTACACAGAAAGATGAAAAAGAATTAAACATGGTCAAACTGGGAGGGGGAAATGACCAAGAAAGATGTCAGAATTAATAAGAACGAGAGTTAGTGTAGCACTACAAGTGTGAAGTAACAGCTCATGTATATTAGCATGCAGGAATGTTCTGGACAGCAGCATTCCCTGACATTGTGATGGGGCAGGCTTCAGGGCAGGCTCTAGGGATGGAGTCAGGAAAGCTTTGGCAAATGTTATTTGGAGCTGGTTTGCCCATGGAGCAGCACCAGCGCTCCTTGGTGCTGGGTGTGGCCCATTAACCCACAGCAGTCTGCTCTCTGCTTCGTCTGCATGAGCCCACTGCACTGGAGCAGGGGAGGCTTGAAGTGCTTTTCTGCAGAGCTGTGGGGAAGAATGGCACTCACTTTCCTTTCCTTTGGCAGGAGGCTTACAACAGGCTGTGGGCATTTTCACTTTTTTCCAGCTAAGAGCAACAGGTTCCTCTTAGCAGGGGACCCCAGGGGAGATGGCTCTTTGCCCTGGCTGGCAGAGCAA